TTGTTTGTTCGTATATTGGTTACTTTGTTTTCATCGAAAATTAGTTTGTTTAGTGGCGATGTTAATGGGAAAATTTGGAAGTGTTTGGCCGGTTCGGAATTTACAATTTAACCCCTATTTGGAGCACATTTTTTCCTCCAAGAATGCATTTTTTTTATGTGATGAGGAATATATAGTTGAAAAAGAAAAAAAAGTTATTGATGTGATGAAAAATAATATTGAAGAATATGTTGCTGAAAATGAATATAGAAGAACGAGAATGAAAAATAACGTGGCTCAAACAGGGGCTTAGAATTGGAACTGTCGCTAGTGGCTCCTTAATATTGTATTTTTTTAATTAAAAAAATTCTTCGATTTTGTATTGGACAGAGAGTCCAATCACTAGATGGGCCTAGCATGGCCGAGCTCACGAGTTTTGATGTGTTCGACTCATTTTTACACGTCTAGTTGTTGTGGTGGACAAGATATGACAACGGCATTCTTGGAGAAATGGGAGAAAAGGAGTTGAAATGAGCAATAGGGTGAAGGAACCGAAGAGGCGGATTCAGTCGAGCCTTCAATAGGGGTTCGATTGGACATAGATTTATTTCATTTCTTTCCTTAGTGCTTGTTTGTTAAAAATTTGTTAAAATTTTATCGAGTTTTGAATTGGCCAAACTTCAATCTTAACCAGTGTTCTAAAATTCAAGCATATGCTCGCATAAAAGATATCCATGTAATAATGCAGCCAATTAATTTCGTTAATAGCATATGCATGCTTAAACGCCAAATTGCAAACATATTTTTGTTAAAAATTGTGTCAAAATTTAGCCTAACAAAACTCAACCCATTTTTATAACTTAAAAAATCAAATTAGCTCAAATCACACAAACTATGAATTGTGTACATCAATTTGTAGATTTTTGACGTTTAGAAAAATAAAAAATCAAAACAAATTTTTCAAAAGGTTGGAAACTATCTACATCGAGCCTGAGCCTCTTTCTTCTTTGGTCTTCCTCTAGTTTTATATATACACTAGGTGCAAGCAACGTGTAATACACGTTTGCTTAGTTTATATTTAATAGTTTTGTTTAATAATTAATTTGTTATTAATAAAGATGTAATTTTTTTGGTTAATTAAGGACGTGTCTGGGCGCGTTGTA